AAACACCAAAAGACATACATCTCACACCTTAAATCAGCATACGTGACACGACAAGACAAGACCGAAGACGTAAAACCTTCCGAGATTATTATAGTGACCTATATAACTTAGGCCCCACCAAAGAACCCCCAGCCTGAGATAAAAGCATACATCACATCTCACCTAAAAAAACGCTAGACCCCCAACAGATCGCACTCTTAGAATTACCTATCCAGGCTGAGGAACTGCAGAAATCGATAGCAACCCTCCCCAAGGGCAAAAGCTCAGGCCCTGATATTATCAATCCTTACAACACATTCTAGCTCCCCAATATTTAGGGGTACTCAATGGCTTGACACTCCACCATGACCTCCCACTTCCGATGCTGAAAGCATCGATCACAGTATTGCCAAAACCTGGTAAAGATCCGAGCATATGCAGCAGTTACAGGCCCATATCCCTAAATCGACCTCGACCTTGAGATATTTGCTAAGATACTGACCAATTGGATCAAGTCCCTCCTCCTGTACTTGATTCACACAGACCAGGCGGGGTTCATACCAGGTCGAGAGGCCAAGGATAACACTACACGAATCCTTAATGTCATGCATGGTGCATCATTATCTAAAACCTCCACACTACTGCTCTCGGTCGACGCAGAAAAGGCATCCGAACGAGTAGACTGGGACTTCCTTTTCACCACTCTCGAAACTCTGGGGATGGGACCCAACTACAGGCAATTGGTGCGAACGCTATATAGGGGACCCTCTGCCAAGGTTAGAGTTAACATGCAAGACTCTCCTTCGTTTTACATCAGCAACGGCACCAGGCAGGAATACCCCCTATCACCCTCTTTGTTTTGGCCATGGAGCACTTTCTGACTGCTATCAGAACAAATGATAACATACAGGGCTTCAGAGCAGGGAGGAGGGAGATCAAAGTATCTGTCTTTGCAGATGATGTACTCCTCACTGTCACTCACCCAGAACAATCCCATACACGTCAAAATGGAAATAGACCAGTTTAGCGCTTGCTCCAATTTTAAAATCAATGCTGACAAATGTGAAATAAGGGGCCTGGAAATGGGTTCACTACGGGCCATTACTATGGGACACTTATAGCTATAAATGGACGGAATCAGGCCTTACATACCTAGGCATTAGGCTAACGCCCACAATTAAGGGCCTCTATAGACTTAACTACCTCCCCCTATTAAGTGACATTGCCTCCAAACTAAAACACTATGATAACCCCCACGTCTCACTCTTCGGTAGGGTCAACATCCTCAAGATGATGATCCCGCCAAGGATCCTTTATCTGTTTCAGACCCTGCCAATTGAGCTAGACAACATGAAAAAGCCCTCTCTCTCCTTTGTGTGGGGGCATAAAAAAATTGCGGTTGGCTTATGAAGTCCTTACACGCAATAGGAAAGGAGGAGGCCTGAGCCTACCCCACATCTACAAATATTATATAGCGGTCCTCCTCGCCAGAGTAAGGGAGTGGACAGATGAAAGCAATAAAAAGGCATGGTATGAACTAGAACAAAGCTTCTCCACAGTACCACTAGCCAACCTCCCCTGGCAGAAATGCCACCTACAAAAAATAACGAGAACCCTTATCCACCATATCCTGAAGAAATGGAGATGACATAAAAACTCATGAAACCTATCCCCAGGTATATCCCCATTGTACCCGCCAGCGAACAATCCAGACATTCTGGGAGGCAGAGGGGCAACAACCCTGTCGAAACTACTAGGAATGACGAACCCACAACTAAGCGACATACTGACGGCAGATAAACCTCCCAAAGTTATAAATCTACAGGAGTCTGGGGGACACCATTTGCTAACTGAAGCGCTGAGGTGCTCACAAGTGCGACACTCCTTGACATGTACAGTAATACCCTACTGGACCCCTAGCACTAACCCCATTTGAACGATTATGCACCGCCAGAAACACACAAAAACACTCACTCTCTCAAATATACCAACTGCTCTGCTCCTCACAAGGTGAGCATGAAGTCCTTACCTTCCAGCGGAAATGGATGTGGGGACTACGCATACACATGACAGCCCGAGATTAGGAATATATTTTTACCAAACCTATGCTAGCTTCAGTTAGCCTATCCAGACGTGAGTCCTTCTAAAAACGTATCACAAGGTGGTACAGGGCACCAGACCTACTTTACCAGTTCTGGCCAACAGATGCGAGGGAGACGTGGGCAATACAGAACACATATGGTGGACCTGCCCACATATACGAGAGTACTGGACTAACATAATTGCCAAACTCACCATCATACTAGAGCTACGGCACTCCCTGACCCCATCCTAGGTTCCGTTGGGATGCCCCCAAACCTTCCAGAACCCGACAAAACGGCTCCTGCTATGGCTATTACTGGGGGAAGCGAATAACCCATACCGGCGTATTGGAAAAAAACTGTGACCCCCCCACGGTGGCTCAATGGGTAGACAGGGTGGAAATGATGAGAGAGATGGGAAACCTACATTGGTCCACACTAGTCCCTCCCCCCCCGGACTCCCAGATTCAGTTCCCTTACCTTTCGCTGATATGAAAACACAGGTGGCATACAATACGTATCAGACATACCTATACGTAGGTCAGTATAGCCCAGAGTGGGGTTAAGTGAGAAGGCAAAAGGCACCAAACCCACACATAGGTAACGAAACCCCCTGGGGCGACACTCTAGAAGGGTAACAGGTAGTGATGCACCGAACGGTTCGCCGGCGAACAGTTCCCGGCGAACATAGCGTGTTCGCGTCCGCCGCGGACGGCGAACACATGCGCGGTTCGATCCGCCCCCTATTCGTCATCATTGAGTAAACTTTGACCCTGTACCTCACAGTCAGCAGACACATTCCAGCCAATTAGCAGCACACCCTCCCTAGCAGACCCTCCCACCTACTGGACAGCATCCATTTTAGATTAATTCTCAAGCTGCATGCTTAGTGAGAGGAGGGAAAGTGTAGCTGCTGTTGATTAGATAGGGAAATGCATAGCTAGGTTAGGGTATACAGTGTCCACTACAGTCCTGAAGGACTCATCTGATTTCTGCTGTAAGGACAGCACCCCAAAAAGCCCTTTTTAGGGATAGAACATCAGTCTGCTTTTTTTTTTTTTTCTGTGTAATGTAATTGCAGTTAGTTGTCTGCCACTGCTGCCAGCTTCTGTGTCAGGCTCGCAGTGGATACGGTGCCCATTTGCCCAGTCAGTGCCACCACTCATATCTGGTGTCACAATAGCTTGCATTTAAAAACAAAAAACTTTTTTCACTGTTATAGATTGAATAGCAGTTAGTTGTCTGCCACTGCTGCCAGCTTCTGTGTCAGGCTCACAGTGGATACTGTGCCCATTTGCCCAGTCAGTGCCACCACTCATACTGGTGTCACAATAGCTTGCATTTAAAAACAAAAAACTTTTTTCACTGTTATAGATTGAATAGCAGTCAGTGTCCTTAAAGCGGGTGTGTCAGGCTCACAGTGGATACGGTGCCCAGTGCCACCACTCACTGGTGTCACAATAGCTTGCATTTTAAAAAAAAACTTTTTTCACTGTTATAGATTGAATAGCAGTTAGTTGTCTGCCACTGCTGCCAGCTTCTGTGTCAGGCTCACAGTGGATACTGTGCCCATTTGCCCAGTCAATGCCACCACTCACTCATCTGGTGTCACAATAGCTTGCATTTAAAAACAAAAAACTTTTTTCACTGTTATAGATTGAATAGCAGTCAGTTGTCTGCCCTTAAAGCGGGTGTGTCAGGCTCACAGTGGATACTGTGCCCAGTGCCACCACTCACTCACTGGTGTCACAATAGCTTGCATTTAAAAACAAAAAACTTTTTTCACTGTTATAGATTGAATAGCAGTTAGTTGTCTGCAAGCGTCAGAAAGTCACCCCCTTGCCCGGCGTCTGACACCTGGTTTGTCTGAACTATTAGCCTGCCAGCTTTTACCATACAATCTGGTGGAGTCTGAGGCGTTCAAAAAATTTGTAGCTATTGGGACACCGCAGTGGAAGGTACCCGGCCAAAATTTCTTTGCGCAAAAGGCAATCCCCAACCTGTACTCGACTGTGCAAAAGGAAGTAATGGCATGTCTGGCACACAGTGTTGGGGCAAGGGTCCCTCTGACCACTGATACCTGGTCTGCAAAGCAGTGGGTACTTTATAAATGGCTCCACCTGCCACCCGTACAGCAACACAGTCTCCAGTTAGGAGGACCGACCAAGCATCTTCTTCCATCTCCCTGTTCCAAAAATCGCTGCCATATACACGTCCATTGATAGGAGACGCAACAGGTATTAAACTGATAAGAATAGTACTAAACACACCACTCCTATCTGGTGGCACATTAGATTGCACGCGCAGTGCCCCTATGTAGGGGGAACAGTCTCTATTCCGCTCTTTGTCAGTGTGTATCAGGGGCTTTGAGGACGGGGAACAGTCTCTATTCTGCTCTGTGTCAGTGTGTATCATGGTCTCTGAGGACAGGGAACAGTCTCTATTCTGCTCTTGCATTTCTATTTCTTCTTAGATAACAAAAAAATTCTGAGACGACGTTGGCAGGGCTATTCACTTGTGTGATCTGTCATGAATTGTCATTTGAATGTTAATTTGAACTGTGGGGCACAAGAACTTGAATCTGACAATTTTTATTTTATCAGAGAACTTGTTCGGGATACAGAAAGGAAAAAAGGGAGGGTAAGCGGTTAAGGTACATCAATCTTATTCACATCTTATACATTCAAGATGTGTGCTGATGGGGTTGGATGTGAGGGGGGGGCAGGTGCGTGCACTAAGGGTAGGGGGGGGTTAACCTATATACACTAGTGGGTTTAGTCTCATCTGTTTGTGATACATCTACCTGGTTTCTTTGGGTAAGGTTTGCTGTTCCTATTTGGTCCTATAGCACTTTTTCTCTCCTCACTTTTCCCCAGGGTATCCCTTCTCAGATTGCATGGGCTAAGGTTCCTGCTCATCTCCAGTTATCTGGGTTTTCACTGTGTCCCAGTACTGTTCCCAAATTTTTCCTGCCTCTATAGTTGCCCCTCCCGTCTCAAGTTGTTGGGCCGCCATGTGCTCATATTCCCAATTCTTTTGGATCTGGGTAACTAGCTCGGTTTTTGTGGGGACTTTATGTGATTTCCAGTTTTTTGCTATGAGGTTACATGCAGATATTAACGTGTGAAATAGGAGTTTGGTATGAGCTTTGGTCATGCCCCCTGGCCAAATGTATAAGAGGCATATAGCCGGGGTCAGAATCAACTTCATAGGAAGCAGGTGGTCAACAATGGTGCCCACCATGGACCAGTAAGGTAGGATGTCTTTGCACGTCCACCATACATGTAATAGTGAGCCCTTGTCTAAATGACATCGCCAACATTGGGCAGATGTACCCGGGAACATGTGTGCTAGCCTTGTTGGGACCAAGTACCACCTGTATTGCAATTTTCTTATTTGTTCAAAGTGTGTAATGCAGGCAGTGTTGCCTTTGTGAATTGTAAAGGCTTTGGACCACTGGTTCTCCGTAAAGGTGCTGCCCAGGTCTTTGTGCCATGCCTGTATGAAGTTGTCCGTGGTGCCGTGAGTGCCCTCAAGCAATGTGCCATATATTCTCGAGATGGCTTGTCTGTGTGGTTTGCCCGTGAGGCACCATGTGTCATAGCTTGAGATCCTGGGTGTCGTAGGTGGGTTCGTGGGTTGCCGTAGGATAGACTTGAGCTGTAAGTATGAGAAAATTGCTTTATTCGGTACTTTGTACTGTGTTTGTATGTCCGGGAATTGTTTCAAGGATGTACCATTATATAGGTCGTATATGTGTGTGCACCCTGCAGTCGTCCAGGTCCGGTAATCGAATGTTTTGTTCCTCAGATATATACTATACATTGTCGATGCTAACGATGTGGCTCCTGAGCCGCTAAGGTGCATTCTGTGTGTCCCCCATGTGTGCAGCATCAGTTTAGTGGTCTCTAGCATGTGTGGTGTTGTCGGCCTTAGGTGTTTTGGCACCCAAAATAAGTGGTGCATCCCGGCCCTGCATGCCCAGTGGGATTCAATATCAACCCATTGCGGTGGGTTTTCTGCCCTGTGTGCCGTGGCCAGCGTGGCTAAAATGGCAGCCTTGTAGTACAGTTTAACGTCTGGGAAGCTCATGCCCCCCCCTCCCCGTTAGTCTTTTGATTGTGGAGTGTACCACCCTGGGTGTTTTATTCGCCCATATGAATCTCGTGATGTTTTTTTGTAGTTTGACCATATATTGCCTGGGGATGGGGATCTGCAGCGTGCGGAATAAATATTGTAGTTTTGGCAACAGTGACATTTTAAATGCCGCTATGCGCCCATGCCACGAGTGGAAGTCACTGTTCCATTGGTCTAACGTCTGAGTAATTTCCTGCAAGAGTTTCTCGTAATTGTATTTAAACATTTGGCAATTCGTCCGACCGACCAAGCATCTTCTTCCATCTCCCTGTTCCAAAAATCGCTGCCATATACACGTCCACTGATAGGAGACGCAACAGGTATTAAACTGATAAGAATAGTACTAAACACACCACTCCTATCTGGTGGCACATTAGATTGCACGCGCAGTGCCCCTATGTAGGGGGAACAGTCTCTATTCCGCTCTTTGTCAGTGTGTATCAGGGGCTTTGAGGACGGGGAACAGTCTCTATTCTGCTCTGTGTCAGTGTGTATCATGGTCTCTGAGGACGGGGAACAGTCTCTATTCTGCTCTTGCATTTCTATTTCTTCTTAGATAACAAAAAAATTCTGAGACGACGTTGGCAGGGCTATTCACTTGTGTGATCTGTCATGAATTGTCATTTGAATGTTAATTTGAACTGTGGGGCACAAGAACTTGAATCTGACAATTTTTATTTTATCAGAGAACTTGTTCGGGATACAGAAAGGAAAAAAGGGAGGGTAAGCGGTTAAGGTACATCAATCTTATTCACATCTTATACATTCAAGATGTGTGCTGATGGGGTTGGATGTGAGGGGGGGGCAGGTGCGTGCACTAAGGGGAGGGGGGGGTTAACCTATATACACTAGTGGGTTTAGTCTCATCTGTTTGTGATACATCTACCTGGTTTCTTTGGGTAAGGTTTGCTGTTCCTATTTGGTCCTATAGCACTTTTTCTCTCCTCACTTTTCCCCAGGGTATCCCTTCTCAGATTGCATGGGCTAAGGTTCCTGCTCATCTCCAGTTATCTGGGTTTTCACTGTGTCCCAGTACTGTTCCCAAATTTTTCCTGCCTCTATAGTTGCCCCTCCCGTCTCAAGTTGTTGGGCCGCCATGTGCTCATATTCCCAATTCTTTTGGATCTGGGTAACTAGCTCGGTTTTTGTGGGGACTTTATGTGATTTCCAGTTTTTTGCTATGAGGTTACATGCAGATATTAACGTGTGAAATAGGAGTTTGGTATGAGCTTTGGTCATGCCCCCTGGCCAAATGTATAAGAGGCATATAGCCGGGGTCAGAATCAACTTCATAGGAAGCAGGTGGTCAACAATGGTGCCCACCATGGACCAGTAAGGTAGGATGTCTTTGCAGGTCCACCATACATGTAATAGTGAGCCCTTGTCTAAATGACATCGCCAACATTGGGCAGATGTACCCGGGAACATGTGTGCTAGCCTTGTTGGGACCAAGTACCACCTGTATTGCAATTTTCTTATTTGTTCAAAGTGTGTAATGCAGGCAGTGTTGCCTTTGTGAATTGTAAAGGCTTTGGACCACTGGTTCTCCGTAAAGGTGCTGCCAAGGTCTTTGTGCCATGCCTGTATGAAGTTGTCCGTGGTGCCGTGAGTGCCCTCAAGCAATGTGCCATATATTCTCGAGATGGCTTGTCTGTGTGGTTTGCCCGTGAGGCACCATGTGTCATAGCTTGAGATCCTGGGTGTCGTAGGTGGGTTCGTGGGTTGCCGTAGGATAGACTTGAGCTGTAAGTATGAGAAAATTGCTTTATTCGGTACTTTGTACTGTGTTTGTATGTCCGGGAATTGTTTCAAGGATGTACCATTATATAGGTCGTATATGTGTGTGCACCCTGCAGTCGTCCAGGTCCGGTAATCGAATGTTTTGTTCCTCAGATATATACTATACATTGTCGATGCTAACGATGTGGCTCCTGAGCCGCTAAGGTGCATTCTGTGTGTCCCCCATGTGTGCAGCATCAGTTTAGTGGTCTCTAGCATGTGTGGTGTTGTCGGCCTTAGGTGTTTTGGCACCCAAAATAAGTGGTGCATCCCGGCCCTGCATGCCCAGTGGGATTCAATATCAACCCATTGCGGTGGGTTTTCTGCCCTGTGTGCCGTGGCCAGCGTGGCTAAAATGGCAGCCTTGTAGTACAGTTTAACGTCTGGGAAGCTCATGCCCCCCCCTCCCCGTTAGTCTTTTGATTGTGGAGTGTACCACCCTGGGTGTTTTGTTCGCCCATATGAATCTCGTGATGTTTTTTTGTAGTTTGACCATATATTGCCTGGGGATGGGGATCTGCAGCGTGCGGAATAAATATTGTAGTTTTGGCAACAGTGACATTTTAAATGCCGCTATGCGCCCATGCCACGAGTGGAAGTCACTGTTCCATTGGTCTAACGTCTGAGTAATTTCCTGCAAGAGTTTCTCGTAATTGTATTTAAACATTTGGAAATTCGTCTTGGCTAGCTTGATCCCCAGAAATGTGATATAATCTTCCCTCCAGTCAAAGTTAAAGGATTCCGTCAGTGTTTGTAGGGTACGCCCTGGTAGGTGAATTCCCATTGCCTGTGTTTTTGTGAGATTAAGTTTGTAGTAGGATACTTTGTTATAGTCTGTAGTAGGTTCGGTAGGGATATTAGCGGTTGCGTCAGGGTCAAGAGTATGTTGTCCGCGAAGAGGTTGAGAGTGTACTCCCTGTCCCCCACTTGGACCCCGTGGATATCAGGGTGAGCTCTGATCACTGCAGCCAGAGGCTCCAGTGACAGTACGTATAGCGGGGGGACAGGGGGCACCCCTGTCTCGTTCCGTTGGTGATGACTATCTTTTTTGACACAAAACCTAAATTAAGGACCTGAGCTTTGGGTGCCGAATAGAGTTCTCTGACTACAGAAATGAAGCCCTCCGGTATCCCATACCTCTTTAGGGCCGCCTCCAGGAATCCCCATCCCAGCCGGTCGAAGGCTTTTTCTGCGTCCAATGAGAGCAGAACCCCCCCTTCCCGTGTCGCCCCTAGGCTTTGCATGAGGTCAAGGACTTTTGTGGTGTTGTCTGCCCCCTGGCGCCCCATCACGAATCCCACCTGATCATCATGTATAATGTGTGGTAGTATCGGACCCAGTCGAATAGCGTACAGTTTAGCCAGTATTTTGGTGTCAGTGTTGAGGAGGGATATGGGTCTAAAGTTTTGAGGGTAGGTTGGAGGTTTGCCCGGCTTGGGCAGAGTGATAATGTGGGCTAGCTGCATCTCCCCCGGTAGGGTTTGTGATCGTTCAGCTTCGTTAAAAACCTCTGCTAGGCAGGCGGCCAGTATATCTCTAAACTTGCTGTAATAAGAGTTGGCAAAGCCATCTGGGCCCGGGGCCTTGCCCCTTGGCAGCGTCTGTATGGTATCCCTTACCTCCTCTGGGGTGACTGGTCGGGTGAGTGTTTCTTTCTGTTGAGTTGTCAGGGTCGGAAGGTTGAGTTTGTTTAGGTAAGTCTCTATCTCGGTATCTGTCGGGGTGGTTATGGTTGTGTCATTACAGAGGTTGTACAGATCTCCATAGAATTGTGCAAACTCGTCGCTAATAGAGAGCGGCGACATAACTTTCCCCCCTGCTTTTGTGTGTAGGAATGCTATCTTCTGTGACTGCTGTCGCTTTTTTAACCTCGATGCCAGCAGTTTACCCGCTCTATTCCCCTGGGAGTAATGTGCTGTTATTTATTTTAATTTTTTTTGGTGAGGCTTTAGAGGACAGAGTGCTTCTCCACGGGATATGTTAACTCACGGGCAGCTGGCTCATCAAGGAACCAGAGCAGCTTTCCATGTACAGGTAAGACACGTGCAGCCGGTAAGGGTTCAGGCTCTTCTTCCTGGAGGATACGCTGCAAGACACAAGCATTGTAAGTCTACTTAGAGTTGGTGGATAAAGCAAATACAAAGAACAGTATTCATTGATCAATGCAGACACCTTATATCTTTGTTTAAGCTGCTGATCCCAAAGAGCCAGTCATTTCCAACTTCCTACT